CCTATCGAAAAATAAAGAAGGAATCTCTGTTTATTATGCTCAGTTAGCCTATCAAAATATTGTTACCGATAAATATTTGTGACACCTTCTGTCTTTCATTTTTGTAAAAAAATAAATTAAAAAATCTACTTTAAATAAATAAAATGTTCACAGTTTAAAATATAGCTATGATAAAAAAAAAAAGTGCTTCCAATTATTAACTATGGTTTATTTTTTCCAAAAAGTTATATATCAAATGTCACACTACATTCCTTACCACTCAGAGAAAAACAAATAAAGGTGGTTTGCTAATATTGGCCTGGAAGAATTTTTATTCATTTTTTAAAAAATATAGGCAACAATCTCGATTGCGTTCGTTGATATATGATTTTTCAGTAACCAAAGACCGAAACGTGTAACATCAATCACAAAAAAGTGTATTCTTTTTTAGTTATCCGGAAATCCGATTTTGAATTTCTTGAAAAAATATTTTCCGCCTTCTTTACGGTGAAGTGTGTTATGTACAATACATAAACTTAAAGAGCTTAAAGACTTCAACCGAGTGCCATTTAAATCGTTATAACCTTTGAAACTACAGTATATAGCGACACGAATTCTTTCGACCGCCATCTTGAAAAGAAAGGGCAGATGATAATTCCGATCTCCGAGGATCATCCTCGGGTGCCTTTTGTGATAATCACAAAACCATCGGGCCAGTAGTCTCAGAGAAGATGAGTGGACGGATTGTTTTATTTGATTTTCGGATTCTACGTTTCTTGAAATGTAAAAATTTTCTTGGTCGATTAAAAAATGTTCATTATTGAAAATAGCAAGCCAAAAAAAAAATCAGTAGGTGATTTTGTAAACTAAATTAATTAATAAATAATAGGAATCTGATAATGACGTAACTGTTAGCAAGAAAATTATGATATCAAGTTACTTAATTTTTCACTACCACCACAGATATACTGCTCCAGATTTATTTCCCCTTTTATAGCGTAATAAAAAGAATAAATTGCAGCATGATGCCGCAAGATAAATAAAATATATTGTTTACAGCATAAGTCTATAAAGATATAGTTATTCCGAAATCAGTTTTTATTCTTTCTGGGACTGAATACCGTACTTCAGGACGAGTGGGCCTCTTAGCAATTGAGTAAGTCGTGAATAGTTATCTCCAATTCAGCAGTAGAGGGTTTATATGATCCCTCTATAGAAATACAGCGAAAAATTTTCATTCGCTTGTTAAAACATTTTATTGTTTCTAAACATATAATATGCATATGTTTTGTGTAAAATATACTATAATATTAATACTTCAGTTATTATAATATTATATATTAATACTTTGTTTTTATTAAAAATGCCCTTTTTAAGCTACTTTAAGGTTTCAGTTGAAAATTTTGTATGAAGCAAATGTGAAAAAATGCATATAATAAGGATAATGAGCTGTATAAGATTGAAACGAAACAATACATTGATTAAGTATTTATTTTCTATAATTACATACAATAATAAAAAAAAATTAAATCAATTTTACCTTCGCTAATAAAATAAATTAGGAACTTCTAATAAACGAAAATAAAAATAACTTAAAGATAATTATGGATAAATACAATTCTGAAATATTGAATAAAAGAAAATGATATTTTAATCTACAAAATGAAGAAATGGCATGTAATCATCCCAAAATTACAACCAAATATATTACTAATGTCAATGTAAAACATATATAAAACAAAAACACTTTGCAAGACCAAGACCGCCTAACTGTGGCAAAACCAAGACTGATAAAAATGATGGCTCTTCTAATTTTTTATTCGGGCTTAGTTGGATTTTTGCCATCTAAAAAATTACAAAAATATCTTTGTAGTAACAAGCTAATAATTGACTGCAAGACTGCTGCGACTCTCGCGGAAGACCAAGATTCGTCTTGGTCTCGCATTCGGGCAACAATACACTTGACTCTGTAAAAGACGGAGCCAGACTCTCTATTGACCAGGTCAACGGGCTTAAAAGTTAAAAACCTAGAAGTTTTTTTTATGTAAAGCTATAATAATATTCATAACAATCGAACCTATAAACTATTAACCAGTATATATTAACTATAACCAGTATAAAAAACGAGCCTATGAAACCGTATTTTGCCAATTAAAATAACTGATATAATTTTCTTTTAGTTTTTTCTAATATTTGAACTTTAAAGTTTAAATAAATAAAAAAAAAATTGTTAATTCAAAATAATAAATAAAAGAAATTAACTCTGCGAGCGTTAACAATCTTTCTAAATCTTAGCGGATTGATAACAGAAAAGAAACATGTAGCGTAGAAGAGTACAACATAGTGCAAAGGAGTTACTGTAATTTTTCCCACAGAACCTTTAAAAACAAATCATTTAACTTGTGTTGTTTTTCTCTTGATAGAAGCCATTCTGAAATATATATATAAAGTTGTTAAAGTCTGCGCTGAGATCATTAATGAGCATCAGAAATCTAGCAATAGTCTTGACATTGATTTAACTATTTTATTTTCTAACAAAATTTTATTAGATACCAAGAAACGCGCATTTTCATTAATTGAAAGGTTACTTCGTTTCATTTTTAAGAAAGCGCGGTGGAGGATGATGGAAGTATACTTTACAAACTTTGGACATTTTTCGACAAATTTATTACCCATCAGTAATGAATCTGATTTTATATCTACCAAACTTTTTATTTTTTGAAACTAAAGTACTGTCCCAATGTAGTTCCCTAGTAATAGTTCCCCCAAACTATAAACCTACGAGTCGCTGTTCTCAGTCTGAAAGGCTTCAACTGACTGAGCCTTTAACATGTCGGTTACATTCTTTTGAATGTTTACCAGAGTCCCAAAATGACGAATACTTCAATTTCTTGAAAAAAAGAAAAAAATCAGGAGGATCGGATGACTAAGAGGTTGTGGAACAACCGGAAACCTTTTTTTGAGGTCAAAAATTCCGTGATGGAAATAGCCGTGTTACATGGAGCCTTGTCATGATAAAGCATCCAATTGTTCGCAATATCGTATTTTACAGGAATCATCCTTTTCTAGAGTCTTTAAAAAAAAAAATGTCAACATCCGAATCTTCCAATTTTTATTTCTTTTGTTTTTCAACATTCACCTTTTTGAGTGTTTAATTTTAATAAAGAAATACATTTAATTGTATTATATTTAAATATTATACTTTATTCGCTTTGTATTATCGCTTATTTATAAGCCCAATGTCCAGCAGTAATTCTCAGTCTTGAGGATTAAAACAACCGATACCTGTGATAAGACTACCCGGGCACTGCCGTCAGCTTTTGTCGACATTGGATTCTTGTACTGTATTCACAAGCCTAGCGCCATTTTGTTCATACATTGGCAGTCATCGATTGAGATTGATATACATATCGATTCCCCCCCCCTCCCCACCCCCATCGACTGCTTGACATCAGCTGGTATTTGAGGTAAAATCGTTGGAAGTAGGGTTATCTACTCCCCACTTGGATTTTCTTCTCTTCGTAACATTTATGAACTTTCATAAACCTTTTTCTTTTCTTTTTTTCACCGAAAGACATTAAATATTAATTTAATTGTTTTCCCCTCTAAATTAGTCTTTTATTTCTTTTTATTATTATTTCTTTTATTTATTTTTTTTTTTTGGACATTCTAATATAACTCCAAGTTAATTTTTTATCTTGTCATTGATTTTTATTTTAAAACTTCTGTCCTTTGAGGCATATTGTATAATATTTATCAATAAAAAAAAAATGTTTAGAAGTTTATTTGTATTTACATTTATTCCTAAGGGATAATTTATTTTCTCTTGAATATTACATTTTATGTTTAATTGTTATTTCAGGAAACCTTTATACCGTTGTTATTTTATTTTGTTTTAACTTTTGTGTTGATATATATTTATACATCTTTTATTATTCAATATAACTCTATAAACATTCAAAGGGAGAATTGTTTATTTTATTTTTTCATCTTTAATTGATTAATTATTTATATTTGTTTTGAAGTGCATGCCTTCAATCCCCAGTCATATTTTACATGTCTCATTTTACCTTCATTCCCTTCATTTTATTTTTACTCGTATCTCCTAACATTGAGGAAACACCACGCGACCAGACTTCTATTTCTATTCTGAAATACCCCTGCCCCCAACAAAGACCTTTGTAAAACGGTTTCACACGTTCGACATTTTAATCGGTTTTTGAAGTTGGAGGTCTTGAGGGAGGTGGACCGTGCTGCCGAGCTTTATGCAGCTTTCCACTAGTACACACAAAAGGATATAGACAATTTTTTTTTTTTTTATCAAATTATTAAAATCCATCTAGTGCATCGTGAATGACTTCATGTCATCGTAACATGGAACTTTTCGATCTATGAAAATTCTCAGAAAATTAATTAATTAAATGAAGCACTAAAAACTAATGAAAATCCGTTTGCTTTCCAGTTCAATCGTAAGATAATTGTATCACAAAATCAATAAAATAATATTGTTTATAAAATATTGGAGATATTTATAGAGTTGGAGGTCACGCCAAATGGCACAATATTTGGAGAGAAACATTTTTCTTGATATAGGTTTTATTAAATTAAATTTAGGTTATTAAATTATGTTGGGGTTCAATCGAACAGTGAATGGGAGTTCGTGAGTTTTAGGCACCTCATTAAATCGACAAAGTTCACCGATCTCCAGAATGAAGACGTCCTCTTTCAAGAATCTTCGTAAATAAGAAGTTGTAAGAATTTATAAGTGTATAGATGAGAGAACTGTTCTCCGTGAGCAGGTACAGTCTGGTTTTCATTAGCTACCAGGTCCTCGGTACATTAATGGCAGTTCATAAAAAAAAAAAAAAAATGGTAATCTACAGAATAGAGAATTTAAGAATCCTAATCTAATGGGATAAAACAAACTGTGATTGTACAACAAGTTATCTTTTTGAACGAGCCCTGCAACACCAATCAGAAATAGTGATGGAATGGTATCAGTAGCAAAGGTAATCAAATGAATGGCTGAGAGACGACAGGGGGTGGTGACCGTAAGATCTGATACCCGGCTGATAGATTGCGAAGATTAGCATATGCAAATGTTGCCCACGTTGCTCCTGTATTAGGGCACATGTCAACTACTTCCCCTCGTCAATTTCCATATGTTTAGCAATTAATTGATGGCATCTGGTTGGGGTGGCCTAGGCTCTGATATTATATTCATTTGTAATACTCAACCAATTGTAGGCGTCTCCCGGCAGATTTATGGCATTGCCGGGGAATCTGTCTGATGGAATGGGTTAGCCTGGGATATTAATTGGCCTTCTCAGTCCCCAATCTCAATCGAAGGCCCTGGGCTCAGTCAACGGGAAAATGATCCACAACTACTCCAGAAAAAATGACAATATTGAAACATATTTCATTTGATATAAACGATTTATTTAAAAAAATAACGTTATATATATATACATATATATATATATATATATATATATATATATATATATATATATATATATATATATATATATATATATATATATATATATATATATAAAGCGATTTGCCGCCATCGTATCATCAAGCTCCTTTATCGTATATTAATATGAATTTAAAGTTGGATTTCATCAAAAGATGGGATCACATATGGGTGACCTCAGCTAAGTCACCAAGCTTACACAGATTTATACCACACATTTCAATTCACAATTACAGACACATTCACAGTAATGACTACAAACTTACGCAAGTACTTACGGAACATGGGAATACAAAACAATATCTTAAAAGATTCAACATTATACAAACAGACTTATGTGATGAAGACGGACAGGTTCAAAATTTTAAACATATAATATATGAATGTAAACGATTTGACAGACAGCGATTTGAGTTAATAAAAAGCATAATTATCAAAAGAGGAAATTGGCCTGAGACGGAACAAAAGTTATTTACTGAATTCAAGACAGACTTTCTTAGATTTATTAGATCGATCGACTTCGACTTACTAACCAGGGATGGGCAGCGTGGGTGATTTCTTTTTGGCTTTGTTGGATTGACTTTGTGTGTTTAATATTTAATTTTCCGATTTAATTTTTGTGTGTTTATTCTTTGTGTTTTTTTTTGTTAATGTATATAAATTTGAACTAAAAATGTAAATCATGTGAAACTAGAAAAAAAAACAATTGTAAACAAATGTAATTCATGTAGTATGTCTTTAAGGCATGGAGCATGAAGGAAAATCAAATAAACGATCCTTGTGTGGGGTTACCACGTAGGGAAAAAAAAAAAAAATATATATATATATATATATAATATCAAAAGAAATATGTTTCAATATTGTCATTTTTTCTGGAGTAGTTGTGGATCATTTTCCCGTTGACTGAGTTGCATTTAATATATATATATATATATATATATATATATATATATATATATATATATATATATATATTATATATATATATATATATATATATATATATATATATATATTTAAGAGACTCTAACTTGAGATATAAGTCAAACTCAAAAATCGTATAGAGTTAAATCATAAATCCCGCTAATTTGAAATAAACTCCTTGTCCTTTATTGAAAACAAAAAATTAGTTATTAGTTGAAATACGATGCATTTTTGCTGCATCGGTAATTCCTAACGGTTTTCGTATCCAAGACCAATGAAACATCTTATAATTGATAAATGTCTGTTAACAATACAATTTGCTCGGCAAAATAAAATTTCCCTCTCCACTCTTCAATTTTAGGAATATTGTTTAATAATTACATTTCTGAATGTTAACATTGGATTGTATAACCTGAATTTTTTTTTAGTTCAGATAAAATTCACTATGAGTACAAAATATCCTTTGGGGGAAAAAATTAAATTATAAATGCTGTTGCTATAAGCGAAAAAAATGGCAAAACGATTTAATATTCGTCTGTCTATACTTACGTAATTTTTATAAAACAAAAGAAATCGAGGCTGGACTACTTTCAAGCAACAAAATGGGACGGTTTTTGAGCTTTTTATAAACTTCAAATAATTAAATTTATAACACTATTCTAGTATATCATATTTATGTCCAAATGAACTTTGTATTAAAAGAAGTGGATTTACAAGAAAAGATGAAATCACAAAAAGTTCTCTTTCAGAAAGTTATGATTTTGCAGTTATCAGTATCCTGTGATCACAAAGACAAACTTTAAAACATTTAAAGAATTATCAGTATAATATAATGAGACGTTTTGTATAACATGAATTTAATGTAACAAATTAACATAAATGTTTTAATAAAAAGTACTTTTGTTATATTTCAGAATTATTCTTAAAGAAGAAATAACAGTTAACAATTAAATAAATCGCTCCACTGTTATGAAGTTAATTAACCTGGTTGTGGTCTGCCCCGACCCCTGAAATTGCAAAGGCAAATATTATCCTTGTTGCTTCCGAGTTATAATGAAATTTCGGACCCTCACGGATTTCCATAGTCAGCCCGTACTACTGTATGCAATGGTTCTTCTGTGGAGAAGAAATATGGGACCTATTAAATTTTACCCAAATGCCTTAATGATTTGTGAATAAGAAAGATTTTCTTAAAATTTCATAGCTATATTTAATAGCTTTATGTCCCCCAATTCTACACAGAGCATTATCCTAAATCTCTCAGTGGACTTAAATTTCTTTATGCATAAACTAGTAAAATAGTTCTACAGTATACTAATATATCTGCTGGCAAGACCTTGCAGATCTTTTACCGTCTCAACTAGCCTTCTTCATCTCATACTATCTTAGGAGATTTCTCTCAAGTTATCTCTTGTATCTTTGTGATTTAATCAATCCATTTGCATTTTGACTTTCCACGTCGTCTCTAATATTGAGGCATTCCAATTTGTATTGAGGCTTCTTAATGGATTGTTCCGACCTTCATGCTCCGGTTTACCTCCTTGCCTTCATATCAAGAGATATTGATTGATTAGTTTCTGTAAGCAGTTCTTTCTCCTCCATGCACTAATACTCGGATTCTAGATCGCTCTGGTTATGGTGCGGACAATTTTTCTCTCAAATGTTTAAATACTTCTTTCAAGGACGCTAGTTAGTGTCCATATCTCACGATCCTACATCAGAACTGGCTTTATCGTAGTAATGTATATCCTTCGTTTCAGATACTTGATATTTTTCGGAATTGCAATACCTTTGAAAGATGAAAGAAAGCTGAGAAATAGAAATAGAAATAGAAATAGAAAAATCATCTTTATTCTGGAACTAGGTCCCTTTAGAATAACAGTATTGTTCATATATATTAACTACAAATCTGGTCAAAAGACTTATTACAATGAATAATGACAAAATACATGTAATACATTAAGTATTAATTAAGCTCTTAGGATAAATTAACGAGGACAGTTGGGTAATAGGGATTCAGTACTACAATATTGGAGCTAAAATAATTGCATAATAATCACTGAATGAAATTAGAAAGGAAAGTAAAATCTATTTTATAGGTAAAGCATTGTAGTGATGGAATATAAAAATTAAAAAAAATAATAATAACTGTTAATATGTAGGGAAAGAAATTGTAAAAACTAAAACAAAAAAATATATAAAAAACAAATAATGATATACATATGTTCCCTAAGATATTTAAGTGATTATGCGTAAAGATTAGGAGAAGAGAAAATAAAATAAAGTATATATATACACATAGCGAGAAGTATGTTGAAGATAATTAAAAATAAAATATATTTCACTGAAATACATTCCATGAATAACAAATTAGAACTTAAGAAAAACAAATTTTATCTACTCACAATGCTTAGTGAATGGTGATGAAAATTCACGTTCAACACAGAATAAAACAATAAAAAATAAGAGAAAAAAAATAATGTCTAAAGAAAATTAAATCCTTATAACATAGTATGTATTTAACCAGCGTCTGATTGGATTGTGAAGAGGAATTGGAATAAGAGGGTTTTAAAGGTGGATAAGGATGATGCATGGCGGATTTTTAGTGGGATGGAATTCCAGAATGCGGTGGAACGGACAACGAAGGAATGTTTAAATGATGCAGATCTGTGGAAAGGAGTGTAAAGGTCAGACGGACGAGATCTTGTGGAGAGGGTATGGATAGATGATTTGAATTGTAGGAGATTGTATGCGTAGGACGGCCGATGACTATTGATTATTTGGTAAAGGAATGTGCCTAGGAAATATTGTCTTCGGAAGGAAGGGAAGAGCCATCCTAATTCAGCATAGTGGTGCGAAACACGGGAATACCTCAGGGCCCCTGTGACAAATCTTACGAAGGCATTCATAATTCTTTTCAGTCTCTACCCGAGTTCTGCCGAGAGGCCACCGTACACCACGCAGCCGTAATCAAGGTGGGGGAAGATGAGGAAAGTTACTAGGAGTCTACGTGTGGAGATGGGTAGGAGATGGTGGGTAATGTGAGCAATATGGTGTTTCCAGGATAGGGTTTGGTCTATGAAAATGCCTAGGTTTTTTACTGAGGAGGTGAAGGTAATGGGATGGTCATTTAGGTACAGTATAGGAATGTTGGTATTGGCTCTGAGAAGGGGTTTGGAACCAATGACAATGGCTTGAGTTTTTGCAGCGTTTAACCTTAACCCATTTAAGTTTGCCCAGGCACTGATCCGATTCAAGTCTTCTTGAATTTTGGCAAACGCTTCATGCAACTCTGAGGGATGGAAGGAAAGGTAGATTTGGGAGTCATCGGCGTAAAGGTGATGGGAGCAGTGAAGGATTGAATTATGGATGTCATTGATATAAGAACTAAAAAGGAGGGGAGATATGCTAGAGCCCTGGGCCACTCCTGCGGACAAAGTAAGATGGGAAGACAAGGGTTGATTAGGAATAGCGACAGCTTGTGAGCGTTGGGAGAGGAATGATTGAAACCATAGGATAGAACTATGGGAAAAGGATAATGATTTTAATTTGGAAAAGAGAATGGAATGGTTGATGCAATCAAAGGCTTTGGAAAAGTCAATGAGTATAAGGACAGTTAGTTTTTTGTCATCAATGGCGGACTGAACA